TTTGCTTTAGTCCAAGGACCCCGCTGGAGGCCAGTTATTTAAACCAATTCCTTGTTTTTTCATTACATCTTCTACTCTTAATTATTTATATGTCTTTAGATACTGTATACCTGTCTCATGTTGCAGGACAGAAGTTTCAAATTCACTTTGATATTCCACTAGATCCCAGTGTGTGCAGCGGTTATCACTGGATTCAGCTGCTCTTAAGAGTTAGTGGTCAGGCCACCCCACCCTCTGATTGACATCACAGGGAGTGATCTGAACAAGAACAACTGCTTTTTAAAAAAATTTCTGAGCCATTAATCGGTCACACAATAGCATTTTTAAGGGATTTGTCTTCAATCAAAACAAAAACATCGTAATCATACCTATAAAAATGAGTTAAACTGTCCTATGTTACGTACTATTGACTGAAACTTAAGCTCAATGGGAAAAAGCATATTGCATCACTGGGGTGTGTTTGTGAGGCACGGTGACATCCCAGTGACTCAGCAATATAAGAACCTTAAAGAGCCACTTGTTTTCAGGGTGCCGTTACAGCTGTTGTTCACATATCACATACCACAAAAAGGTTAACATGAACAGGTAGTGTACCAATAAAAAATGAACTTTTAAAGCTACAGCTGGTTATTACAACGCTGAAGGTGGGAGACCAGAGACATGATGCAGCAAAAAGCAGAAAGAAAATGACCAGCCTGCCTTTTGTACTTCACAAACTGTTGCATGTAATCATGTCAGTCTTTGTTAATAACAGACTAATAATATCAACAGTATATATAATACTAATATTGAGACACGAGTTCAGTCTGAGAGGTTACTTCACAGCAAACAAACGTGGGAGTTTAGAACATGTTTTGAATTCTAGCAAAAGTGGCAATGAATTTATCTTCCACTCAAAGCAACAATAAGCGAGTGCATTAGTTTATGTTACTATTGGAGTGTCTGCTGAGGACTTCAAACACCACATGGCTCATTTGCTTCGTTCTCAAGACAGGTCACATTGATTTTGCATTGTGTGCATGACTTTGTTTGCTTGGAAACAAATCCACGAGTGGAATATTCTCAGTGATGCAGCACTTACAGCCTTGTAACAGAGCAGATATCCAACACAACAATGCCAGACTGTGGCTTGGAAACACTATTTTTAAATTAAGTATTTGCATGGTGACACAGCAGTTTCTGCAGAGGGTGGCACGAATGCCCCTCTGATGATCCTCCTTTGGCTCTCGCTCTCTGGGGCCTCTGGATGTCGAGGCCTGGATCTCCTCCATGCCTGCTTCATGCCCTGGGGGACAGGCCTATGGCTCCCCACACCCTCTAGCACAGACCTTCCCAAAGGGGGGCCTGCCCCTAGGGGGGGGGGGGGAGGCGCAGAGCCATTGGGGGGGGGGGGGGGTGCGGTATGAAAAGGGAAACAAAACAAAACCAAAAAAAACAAGCCTTCCACACTGCTAGCACGGGGCTCCCACAAACGCAATGCAGGAGATGAAGCATCGCTGAATATGTTTCCAAACCAACTTCATTCTAAGCCAAAGACTAGAAAATATGGTGAAGCAAATCTTCCCTTTGGTTTCACCTGCACAAGTGCCAGGTAGGTCTCCCTGCATAATTGGTTTTCCCTTGTCGGCAGCAGCGCTGGGCTCTTCAAATCATGGACAAACAGTATCCCACATTCTTGATTTTTAATTCACAAACACTTGTTGTAATGACTAACTACTCCTGACATTTTGGAGACGTTAGCTCTTTATACAGTAAAGTTACAGTGGCTGATCCTGCCACGATTTGTTCCCCGGTTCAAATCACGGACAAACAGTATCCCACAGCTGTTTATGTTTTTGAACCGATTTTGCACAGAGAGGCATTTTTGAAAAATGTATTTATAGCAATGTTGAATATTATTACACAGGAAACTACATGTAAAACAATTACACCGTGAAGCCTCTGCCTTTCTAAATGGAGGGACAGTAACTGCATGTGTATATGTAAGTATGTAAAAACTGAAGATAGTCAGATTAACAGTATTTTGTCTCTATCTGCCATTGTGCAATTCATCTCATGTAAACAATAACGTGATGCACAGCGTGACCTGAGAAAAGGCACATACCTTGGAGTTGCGTGATGAACTCTGTATTCCTCGTCCAAACGCAAAAAATGAGTTTTAAAAAATCTCCGTTTTCGGTGATTCGAAACGCCGTTTAAGTGTGGACGAAACAGCTGCGTTTTCAAAAAATACCCGTGTAGGTGTGGACGTAGCGTAAAAGAGTTAGTAGTTTATTTTATTACTACCTGTCATTTATTGCAGATTACTTGTATTTGTTTAATTGTTTACTAAATGTTTGAGGTGTGAAATAAACCACAATGGAGCAAAATATGGGTGTGTGTGGTTGGAGGATGTGTGTGTGCGCGTGCGCGTGCATGGAGGCGGGGGGCACGAACATTTTTCTTGTAAAACATCAGCAAAAAAAAGTTTGAGAACCACTGCTCTAGCAGATTGTTACATGGAGAAACATTTTGAATACCAGCGCGCTGATCCACACAGGTGTGCACACAGGTGTTCATTGTTCATAGACACAAACTACACTTTTCTTAGCTGCTACTCAAAGCACATTGTGCGCTGTCGGTCCTGCGTGCTGCACAAAAACATTTATTTTTTTAGTATTTACTGTTATTACACTTAGCTAGATTCATGCAGTGGTGTTGTGTTATTATGTTTGCTCTCTATTTTGCTTTTTTCCTCTCTCAACAGGTGATTCAGAGATCAACAAACATTGCTCGTACTCATGCTGCCCCATTTGCTGGGAGTAAGGCGCCTCCGTTTGTGAGGTGCGCCTGCTGCTTGCTGCACAGGAGGAGAGGCGGGGCAGCGGGGTATCCTGGGCTGGCTGGAGCCTAATAACCAACTCGCAAAATAAAACAAAATAAAAACAAACCAACAACACGAAACACCAGACATTATGATACAGACTTATAATTTGCACCGATGTTTTTTTCCCGAAATTCTATAACGCGAAAGTGAGCGCGAGAGCCCTCGTGTGCCTGCTCGCTGCTGAAGTCAAAGTAAAACTTTATTGTCATCTCCGCTACACACAGTCCAGTATATAGAGAGACAGACGACGAGGCTCCAGTTACAGCAGTGCAGTAAACAAACATAATATAAGAAGAGTAAGAAAAAGTCTATTAGGTTATGTTGTGCGATCCTCGGTTGAGGATTTGTGTTCATACTGGAGTGCAAAATTAAAACCATGGAAGATGGACAAGAAAGTTCAAAGCCATCAGGTGCTCAGTTTAGAAAAAATAGAAAGAAGAGGAAGGAAAACGAGCAAAAGATACAGGTAAGCAGATGTGTCATTGGATAATGCAGGTCATCCTGAAACAATCAGAATCAGATCCTTTATTAATCCTAAGGAAATTATGTGGATTTCAGTTGCTCCAAAAAGAAATGGTAAAATAGTAACAGTAACAGACTAAACTCCAAACAATACATTGTTCAGATTTTAATATTAATTAGTCATTGTCAGTGTTGATTGTCCTGTTCTCATTGTATGACGATTATGATGGCTGTTTGCATACTATGCATACTCTCTCTCTCTTCATATGTGTGTGTTTCTCTCTGGTGAAATGTTGTGTGTTCGCCCGGGGCACCAAACAGACTAGGACCGCCACTGCCCATCAGTAACAACTAAAAATAAAAATGAATAACCAAAGGTTGATCAAATGGACCAATACGCGAGGCCTTGATGATCCACTTGGTAAAGTAAATTCGTTGGTATCTTTGTTGGCCTTCAGACAACAATTTTGATGACTAAAGAACCAACGGACAGGCAAAAAAACAAACAAACAAACACACAAACAAAAAAACCTGCAGCCCTGTGGCCATTATTGGCTACATGCTGATTATTACCATTGATTGATTTTTTTTCCCCATGCAGTTTTAAACAGGAAATAAGTTAAAAACCACATTTGGTGAATAAAAGAGACAGAGAGGTTTGTGTTCACATACTCCCAAAGACCACGAAATTTACATTTAATCCAAAAGATAATAAAAAAAGATCAGAATAGCATAAAATTTTATTACTGGGTTGCAGTGTCACATTTATTTCACATTCATTTGTGAAAACATTCATTATATAAATAATGGGGCATGTGCTCTTGTTTACAATCCCCCCCCCCCCCCCACACACACAGCAGTGACATGATAGCTTCTGAAAACGAAGCCTAAACATAAACATATGCAACAGTATCCAACCGAACAGCCAGATATCCACACGCAAGACTTTCAGCAAGGCCTTAGAAAAGACTGAGGCTCACGAGAAAAGGGTAGATGCATTGCAGTGATAAGACATGTATTGCACTACATAGCTGTTCAAGGCTACTTGTCACTTTTGGAGCGATGCGCACAGACACACTCAAACAGAAAAAGACTATTCCTGCTAGACGTGCTTCTCAACTGCAGCGCAAAAAAAAAAAAAAAAAAAAATTCCCCTTCTACTGATTATAATTAATTGCATTTGAGGTTTCTATACAAATAGGGGAGTGCTTATTTCATCTAACTTAAGAACAACAACAAAAAAGATGTGTACATGCACAAAGAAAAGGCAAAGCATACAGAACTGTAAATATCCACACATAAATAGAATTTAAAAAAAAGCCACTATAGTTTATTTGTCAAACTTGTGAAATTAAAAAGTTTGACTAAGAAATTATTTCCCTATGGATAACCTGGAAATAAAGTACCATTTATTTCTGGAAATAAATAAGAGACACTTAAGGGCAGCTGCCCTCTGAATTAGACAGGCAAAAATATAATTATGAATGTTTAACTTAATCGCACATACTTTCCTTAGGCAAGCCTGAAGATTCATGCAAGGTGTTCCTTATTTGTACCATCTCTCAAAACACATTAAGGTGAGCAGCCTTCAAAGAGTCACTGACAAAGGAGATGGCTTTAGAGAGAAAAGGAGCGAAAATTGGCGATGGGAAACAGACGCGCTGCCCAGACTTTACGCTCTACAAATTTTAGAGATTGATAGGATTGTTGGCGAGCCAAGGCCCTCTTCCAGCCACGGTACAGACGAGGGGTGCAACGCCGAGCTGTGCGCCGATGAATGCGGCGGAGTCGCCGTAAGTACAGTATAATAGAAAGCAAAACGATGAAGAAGCAAGCCAGGAATAAGTAGTGATTGTTGACAAGGAGAAGCTGTGTCGCCAGTGAGAGTGCGCTCCTTTCAGGCTTCCTGTTGGATGTCCCTGGAAGAGGTCACAACAAGAACAAGTCACACATATTACAACAGTTTGGGAAACAAAGACTGAGAGTTCTGTAGTGAAATCCAGCTCAACTAACCATGGCTGCACTCATTCACATGAACAGCATTATTTTCACTGGGCAAAATGACTTAAAGCTTGATTAGTAAACTGACAAGGGCAACATGTGCGAGAAAATCCATCTTACCTTAAAGGCAGAAACCGTGTTCTGTAAAGTATAGCTCCAAGAGTCCACTGGACCTCCTTATCGTAGACCAATAAAGCAGTCTTTAGGTTTTATAATTGGTTGGAAAAGAGAAGCCTGTGTGCAATACTTCATACATCCATGCCGATTTAAAACACTGGTACCTGCAGACAGGAAAAATACAGCACATGCTGAACATTCATGCAGCAGAGATATTGGAGGAACGTGACAAGTTATATGTTGTTTTCAGAAACTGCTGGAGAGTCCTGACTTACTTCAATCTATGGAGATCTGCATGTGAGGCATATAACCCAGACTCAAAGCGTTCCCTCAGAATCTTCCACTGGGTGGCACAATAACTCTGTAAATGTTTAATAAAAATGTCTGCAAAGTTTCCAATGATAAGTGAATGATAAACATTAGTATAACCATTCTAGTGCTCAAATAACTCTACTCCACTGCTCAAAAGGGTTAAAGGAACACTGGATCATCACAGCCTAAATAAAGTTAAACTTGAGGGATCAATCCACCCTAATAGCAAGCGTGAGCCATTGTGAATCAACTTCACCTGCTTTCAATCAAATTGAAAACAGGTACAGTGGAGAGGTAACAAAACACATCTCAAAAAGGGAGTGGTTTAGCAGGTGGTGAGCACCATTGCCATCATCCCTGTTTACTGATGGCACTTGCCACTACTGGTAGCATGAGATTGTTCCCCCAGCCCATTCAAGTTGCACAGCTATTCGAGCATGGTGCATCCCTATGACAATGGGTTTACTGTCTCCCAGCACAGTCTCAAGAGTGTGGAGGACATACAAGGAGAAGGGCATCAACTCAGCAAGCAAGACTGAAGGACCAGGAGGAACACTTCCAGAGCCCTACACGAGCTAGGGGATACTCATGTGTATGTCACTGACTAAACTGTCAGAAAGAGCCCATGAAAGTGACATCAGGGCCCCGAGTCCTTCAGCAGGTTCTGCGCTCACCACCTAGTACCGTGGAGCTCTGCTGGCACTTAAACTTTTTTAGCGCCACTCACCTTGGCAGCCTTGGCGTACTTCGAAGCATTATAATCTCCACCCATGCGCAGCACATCCTCCATGCAGTAGTAGAACTCAGAGAAGCCATAGAACTGACTGTTGCTGTAGTCAATTGCCGGCTGGTAGACGCCATTGAGGGAGGTTTGGGTGTCATTGGTGCGGTTTAGGAATGGCTGGAGAATTTGCCTACACTGGTCAAAGTCTCCAGTGCCTCGCAGATACAGGTGCTGCGTAGGTGGCCGATCTCATCCTGCAGGTCAGTGGGTAGACATGGGTCCAGCAGTGGAGACTCCACTGTTTCACCAATATGCTGATCTAAGAGCCTGAATAAATATAATAAATATCCGCAATACAGTGTAGTGCCACCTTTAAAAAAAACAAACAAGCCCAAAAACAGTTTAATTAAGCCAAGAGAATGACCTGCAGATCTCACCTGTTTCGGGCTGCAGTATTTCTGATGAGATTCTCCTCATATCTTTGGCGTGCTGCATTTCCTCCATAACCCAGAAAGGTGGACACATAAACACGATACACATGCTCTGTGCGATGCACGTCACACCCCAAGTTAAACTCGGCCAGTAAGTTCTTGGCGATTTCATCCTACAGAGCAAACACACATCAGCACGAGAAGTGACTCCCTCCCTCTACTTACGCATATTCAAATTTACACACCCGCACTTCTAAAGTGCGTGTATGCATATAAACACACCTTTATTATTAGAGCAGGGCAGCCATAGTCGAGGCAAGAAAATAAAGAGAAAGCTAAATATTGTGTCTCAAATAAGGCATCTCAAACATCAAAGAGCAGAGATGAACTATCAAGGGAGGCTACAGTCAATCAGTGGCATATTTGCTGAGCCTGCAGCTGGCTTACGGTAGAGTCAATAGTGATGAATGGAGAGTAGATCATACAGGTTTTACCAGGAAATGATAGAGGGTGGAAGAAGGGGAGTGGGGGAGAAAAACAGAGGGTGAGTGGCAAAAACCAAAGAGCACGAAAACAGAATTGGTTGTGGATAATAACCTGCTGTGGAGAAGCAAAGCTTACAGTTTTGGGCACTTCGTACGCAATCTGTGTGGAGACACCACCCATGTCCAGGACACCTGTAGTCCTTTTCCTCAACAGCATCTCCTGCTGATCGCCGCCTGGAACATGTACCTCCACTACAGCCTCGCCGTCTTGGGTGATCGAGAGCAAAGGGGTTTTAGATTCAGTTAGTGAAGGCGTATCGTATGAGCACCGCGTTAGCAGATACAAAAGTCTCCATGGATTTAGTTAACATGCAGCACAACAGCCTTTTAGTGGCAAAAACTTAGTACACAACTGCAATGCTACCTTCTTGGATTCTTACCATTGTGCACATGGTCAAATCTTCCAAGGACAAAGTTGATTCCAATCCAAGCATAGACACCTAAAACCAATAAATACAAAGTAAATTATGATATAAGGTTTAGTGTCAGAAAACTTTTCAGTGGCTACAAAGTGATGAATCAAATAAACTCCCACTGTATTAAATATAAAACAACACAAACCATTCTCATTCTGTATAACACACTGATGTTCATTCTTGTGTACTATAAAATTTCATGTTGTAATTTTATGTATTTGTTGCCTGAACTACATCGTTGTAAATTGTCTGATGATGTGTTAAATTTCTTGTTTATTGTTTTCGTCTAACGTGCCAGGAACTCGATATTTTCACTGATTTGTTCATTTACATGCACTGTCCCTTTGAAATAAACAAATTCAAATTACGTTTCCATTTACGCACCTTCTTGTTTTCCAGAAATCACTTCCACGTGGGAATCCGAGAAGAGGAAGTTGAAGTGGACTGGGATATCTGTGCGCAGATCCTCCAGAAGTGCTTCCTGTTGACTGAAATCAAACAAACAAAATAACAAGAACTTTGCTATTTTTAACTGTAACTCAGGTCAGCTCAGGTGTTAACAGATTTGTAGTTCACGATTTTATTCTTATTGGGGTTTTACTTTTCGGGTAGGATTCTCATTCCAGCTGTGCACAGGACATACAAGGGTGTTTCCTGGTGCTTGTGTTTGGGGATGTGCTGGGCTGCAAAGCTCAGCAGTGGGTATATAATCACTGGCTTTCTCCGGTGTTTTAGCCAATTCGGAAATACCTGAAGGAAAACACACATTAGATCGCAGCGGGTAAATAAAAGGCAGTACAAGATGCTGAAATGCGTGCATCACCATATAATATTGTGATAACAGTTTGAGCCAAACACTGGACATCTCACCTGGCTTGATTTTCATGACCACTGGCTTGCGGTTCTGATCTCGCATTTGCCGGATGTCCAGCAGTTCGTGGGGATTACCGTTGTGCCGGGGCCAGCAGTACACGAACACCCTGGAGCCACTGCTGCCACAGTCCACTACCAGACCGTAGTTCAGGTTGGGGTTGGTTGTGTCTGTTGCGTCGATATCAGTGACCCTGGCTAAATGCCTGTTGAGAATCGTAAAAGTTAGAAATGATGCTTCCCATGTTTACTAGGACATCTACAACTGGATAGTAGTTGTGTAAAACCTGTGGAAGTGATTTTCCTTTGTGATCCAGCTGACGTGCCCCTTTCCAGCAACAAGCAGCAGGTAGAGCAGCCCTATGAGGCAGACCACTAGACTGATGAAGAGCAGCTGTCTGATTGATGGTATCAGGAGCCGAGGAAGAACCTGGGATGAGAGGCTGAAGTGCCACGAAGCTGGGAAAAGGCACGAAAAGCTGATCCTGTCAACAAAAGGTAAGAGAGCCTCAGCAAAGTATGAAACGTCACAGATATGTGAAAGGTATGCAAGGAGAAACCAACCTTCCCATGATGGACATTTCTTCTACTTGTTGCTTTACTTATCACTATAAAGCATGAAGCTGGAAGATGAATATCTGCCTTGTTCCAAACGTCCTGATGTCTTCATTTATCATTGTGACCTTTTAGGGGCAATGTTATAAATTAACAGTTATTCGCATTTTATTTTGAGGGGAACTTGAGCTCTTTTATCAAGAAGGCCCGCAGAGCCGGTACGACACAGGACATGTAGCATATTATCGCTGTAAAGGCAACGTATTTAAACTACAGACAGACATTAGCCAAACAGGAAAAGCACTGCTTATAAAAGGAAAGCCGATAAGCGCTCACACGACCTAACATTTGCGTTTCAGACGTTTGTGTTTAATAACGTTTGACTTTGGTTGTAGTAGAAAGCTAAATGATCCTATTTTTGCGCGTTTTTACTGATCGTCACTATAAAACCGGTAATGTGACGTGTTCACAGCTCCTAGCCGGTTTATTACTTACTAGGAAAGGTGTGAAAATCCCCCCTTTTCTTGAAAATGAGGCGTTTATTAGCAGCCAGATGCTAACCTCTGGCTAACTAACGTAAAGGTACGAGAAGGAATCCGGTGAGTGACGTGGTAGTCGAGACGTGGTGATTGATTTTTATCTCCGCGTAGCCCGGATCGGAAGCCTGTGAGCAAACAGCCGCCCGTCTTGTTTTTTTCTTCTTCCACGTCTAATGTAGGGATTATTGTGCAATACCGCCACCTACTTCCTGGAATTAGGTAAGAAATGATCCCCAGGTGATGTGAAATCATCGTGTTTAAAGGGAGAAGTTAGGAAAGAAAAAGAAAGGTGTCAAAGGTTTATACTGAGTTGTGCGCACGGATGGACACCAGGGTAAGGAAAATGACTTTTATTGACTGACAGGCAGAGATCATGTGCAGCAAGTTCAGGTGATTAAGGACAGGTATTGAAACGAAGACACAACACGTGTATGAATGAGATGGAAACAGTTTAATATGCGAGAGGTAGGAGGACGAGTTTAATTACTTGGGGTCAAATATCCAAGGCAATGAGAGAGAGGTGAAAAAGAGAGCATACAGTGTGGAGTGTCAGGAGTGATTTATAACAGAAAGGCAACAGCAAGAGTGAACGGGAAGATTTACAAGATGGTAGTGAGATCTGCTATGGTGGGTGGTTTGGAGATGTTTGCACTGAGATGTTTTCATTGGGAGTGACCAGAATTGACAGGATTAGAAATGAGTACATCAGAGGGACAGCACAGGCTGAGCGGGTTGGAGACAAAGGTAGAGAGGCAAGGCTGAGATAGTTTGGACATGTGCAGTGGATTGATAGTGGATATAAAATCATAAGTCATACACAAATCCACTCATGTGGTATTTAATATAAGATTTATAGCTTACTGAAAAGACAAGACATTAATATTGACTTTCTAATAAGTTTGAAAAACAATAACAAATGATTTAAAACATGGTATAAATTATACAGCACATTTTCAAATGTATCCAAGTTACTGTAATAACTCTTTTTATATAAGACAAGTCATCAAGTGTAATTTCAATATGTTCTCTCAGTGCAAAAATAACCTGTGATAACCTGCCAAAACTCGTAGAGCTATAGTAGAACCTCACACTATAAAAGGTGCACAGTAGTTTTATTTGCTGTACGTGAATCCACTGGTAATCTCTTCATTATGCCCAGACAATTTGAACATTACTGCACTTCTTGCAGGCCAGCCACTCGGAGCAACTAATTTGCCAGCAGCAACTCACATCCATATACTTCAGTCTCTTGCTCTGCTGTAATAAACTCTTCACTGTTCTAATCGTCACGTCTGTCCGCTGCAGATCAACGTGGCATACCCGACCGAGCGGCACGAGAGGTGAGCCTGTGGATTCTGCAGAAGCACGCGGCTCATAGTTCTCTGTGCGTAGCACACTCTGTAAAGTGTAGTCCAAGGGGCACGGCAGGGAGACGAGTGAGAGCTTCTCCAGTAAAGGGGAACCGGTCAGGAGACACCTGAGGACCGTCTTCAGGGACATCCAGAACATGGCAGGCTTTATTTGGCTGTGCTCATAGGAGAAACTTCAGGGAGAGACAAAGAAGATGAGGAAAGATCTTTGATAGATTGCCAAAGTCTTGTCTGCTTATCAAAATATAATTTTCTGGCCTCATTTCTTAAGTTTCAAATAATTACTTCCTCTCACTTTATTTTGTTATATGCCACAACACGGATAGGTGCTACCGAGGCAGAAAAAAAGCTTAAAAAGAAGAATATGAACACTATAAAGGCCAGCGTTATCTGTACAATAGGGCCTCTTAAGCCTGGCAGCAAGAATAGACTTGATTTTCCTCTAATGGCATGATTAAATGTCAGATTGATGTGAAACATCATTATGAGCAGCCTACTACAAGAACACACAAAGAAACAGTGTAGAATCTTTACTGACGGGCAATACTTCCTGGTATACCATAAATAGTACCTCAGCAGTAACCTTACCTGAGTGTGAGAGAGCAAAGGTTAGGCAGACGTGGAAGATCTCCATTGTCCTGTTGATCCTCCTCATGTTCTATTTGTAGGAAGGAGGGAGAAGGCTCAGCAGAAATGAGCAGGTCTCTGAGTCTGGGACAGGCCCTGATGACTGGCAGGAGTCTGGTGTAGGAGTTGGTTTTCACCCCTTCAAGTGTAAGAGAAATCAGAGAGGACCCTGCAACTAACAGAGAGGGAAGGAGGTTGTCCAGATTTCCTGGGAATTGGACTGAGAGTCTCTGCATCTGACCGGACCAGGCTTTGAGGCCCGCGGCTAACACAGATACCTTGCTTCCTCCTCTAGTGTTTTCATTACTGTCAACACTCACAGACATGGAGCAAATGCCTGGACATAAACGACCTAAACTATCCAGAGAGTCAAAGGTTAAGCCCTTAACATCCTTCAGTTTCAGGGCAAAGTCTGACTGTGACCGATGTGTCCTTTTTTGCCCTGACTGCCTCTGAGAGCAAGGCGGCCCTTCATCTCTACTTGTATCTTCCTCACTCCCACTCCTATACTCCTCCCATGATATCCCTCCTCCTCTTCATCCTCATTTTCGCTATCCACTGCTGTTTTTTCTCTCCTCATTCTTAAATTATCCTTGCCCTCCTTGTCCCTTCTTTCCTGCCAAACCTGTTCCAGCTTGGCAACTCCTTCCCTGCTTGTAAACTCGTCTGCCAGGCTGAACTCTCTGTGCTCGATGAGGCAGCAGGCCTTTTCTATGCCCTCCATGGCTACTCTTTCCAGGGAGGGGAGCAAGAGAAGGAGGTAGGCTGCAGCAGCCACAGGTTCTTCCTCTTGTACCCCAAACCCAATATCCAGAGCCAGCAGACTGCTGAGGGGAAGAGGAGCCAAGGTTGCAGGAAAGGATGAGGACTGATCAGAGCAGGAAGTGGAAACAGAACTCTGAGCTTTAAAGGGACTGCCTGAGGATGAGCAGAAAGCCCCACCTCCAAGAGGAAGCAATGCACCTGGGGAAAGCAAATGACAGTGGGATACATCTAGATGCCGCAACAAACGGCAACGGTGAGCGATTGTTCTGATTACATGCTTGTCACAGGACATGCCAGTCAGAGAGAGGGAGCGCAAAGCAGGAAGGCCATGGAGGGTTTCGGAAATGACCTTTGAAGGTAGCTGCTGGGCTCCAGACAAATCCAGACTCCTCAAATCCTGAGACAAAAACACAGAAAATTCAGACTCACAATAAATAATCAGACAGAGTAAAAGATGAGACACGGACATGGAAGCGGTGGTTTCTCTCTAACCTGGCAGCGTGCAGCAATGTGAGTGCAGAGGGCTGGGGTGACCAAAGCAGGACAACTTTCCAGAGACAGACCTCGAAGCTGGGGAACCAATAGGAGGTGGAGGGCTGCCCTGGACAACTTCTTTCTGCTGCACAGCAGGCATGTCAGCTCCTCAACCAGTTCACTGGCTACAGGCAGAGTTAAAGAGTAGAAAAAGAAACATCCACAAAGATATCATTAAGACACGTACAGCAGGGGATCACTTATAGTGATTTAATCAAATCTGTGCTGCTGCTTTTTTAAATTTCTCCAGTTATCATTTTTTAATTAACTCACTGAGTAAGTTGAAAGGCCCCATGATGTATCTGAATGAATATTGATCCAGGTAGTTATCGGTATAGTCTTTCACCCACACTTTTTTCATGTTGTCAGCAAGGCTTAGCAGAGACAGCTGCCTCAGTGAAAGGACCGGACCATCTTCATCTGTCCTCCAGCAGTCTCCTGTTTTCTGCCTCCTGCGCCCAGGTCTAGCCTTCGCCCCACCACGTTCAGCCAAAGCCCGAAATAGGGGCATTGTGGGATTTCAGCTGACTTCAGGGCTGAAGTGGTCAAATGCAACAAGTGATGAAGGGTTAAAAGTAGAAATTGCTTTCTTTCATAAATTCATAATGTTGATAAGGAGTTTTAACTCTTGTGTAATTTGAATGGTGTCATTAGGATTGAAGTTATTTTACCAACAATGTTAAAAAAAAACCCCATATATAGACACATATAAAACTGACACGGTGCACACACCCCTCCTCTCACCGATCAGCGTTCATATCTAAACATTAAAACATACTAGCTGATGTTAATAACTACTTTGGTGTTCGTGTGTGAATGAGAGTGTGGGTGGTTAACCAAGCTACCAAGGAGTGAGTCCCCTTGTCCTCAAGACCTGTGCCCCCCAGCTGTGTGGAGTCTTTCATAAACTGTTTATGCTGAGTCTGAGTCTGCAGAGGGTCCCGGTGATGTGGAAGACATCATGCCTCGTCCCTGTACCAAAGACGCCTCGTCCCAGTGGCCCCCAGGATTACAGGCCCGTGGCACTGACCTCCCACATCATGAAGACCCTGGAAAGGCTCATCCTGGACCAGCTGCGACCCATAGTAAGACCACATCTGGATCCCCTTCAGTTCGCTTATCAGCCTCGTCTCGGAACAGAGGACGCCATCATCTACCTGCTCAATCGTGTCTACACCCATCTGGACCAGCCGGCGAGCACTGTGAGGGTCATGTTTTTTGACTTTTCCAGTGCTTTCAACACCATCAGGCCGACCCTCCTGGGTGATAAGTTAGCAGCGATGCAGGTGGATGCTTCTCTGGTGTCCTGGATTGTTGATTACCTGACAGGAAGACCACAATATGTACGTCTCCCACAGTGTGTGTCTGACAAGGTGATTAGCAACACAGGGGCACCACAGGGGACTGTCCTCTCCCCCTTCCTCTTCACCCTCTACACCACAGACTTCAGCCACTGCACAGAGACCTGCCATCTTCAGAAGTTTTCTGATGACTCTGCGGTGGTTGGATGCATCAGCAGGGATGATGAGACAGAGTACCGGGCTGTGGTCGACTCCTTTGTCACGTGGTGTGAGCAGAATCATCTGCAGCTCAACGTGGCAAAGACCAAGGAACTGATCGTGGACTTCAGGAAGACCAGGAAACACTTGACCCCTGTTTCAATCCAGGGGGTCAGTGTTGACATTGTGGAGGACTATAAATACCTTGGAGTACACATTGACAATAAACTGGACTGGGCTAAAAACACCACAGCACTTTACAGGAAGGGCCAGAGTCGTCTCTATTTTTTGAGGCGACTGAGGTCCTTCAACATCTGCCGGAAAATGCTGAGGATTTTCTATGAGTCTGTTGTGGCCAGTGCGATCCTCTATGCTGTTGCATGCTGGGGGAGCAGGCTGAGGGTCGCAGATGCCAACAGACTCAATAAACTGATCCGTAAGGCCAGCAATGTTGTGGGGATGGAGCTGGACTCCCTCAAGGTGGTGTCGGAGAGGCGGATGCTGTCCAAGATAAAGACAATGTTGGATAACACCTCCCACCCACTCCATGACATGTTGGTCAGTCACAGGAGCTCGTTCAGTGAGAGACTGAGATTACCGAAAAGCACCACTGAACGACACAGGAAATCATTCCTGCCTGTGGCCATCTCCCTGTACAACGCATCCACTTAACACACTGGTTACTGCTACAACTACACATGTTTCTTTTCCAAATATTTATTTATAAGTGACTTATGTATGTATGTATGTATATATATATGTATGTATATATTGTACTATTCTTAGTTAGCGTATTGTCTGTCTTGTCTTAATGTTGGTTTAAAATGGAGCACTGTAACAAAAAATAATTTCCCCCAGGGATCAATAAAGTATTCTGATTCTGATACAGTAAACTGTTAACTATCAGCGCTGCTGTCTAACTAACTCGCCTTTGTAGTTACGGAAAGATTGAAAGGAGCAGAATGTATTGTTTAGAATAGTTTCCAGTGCACTGACACCTACCTGGCAGATGTAACAGTGTGCTGTCTTGTCGTTATGCGAAAACAAAGCACAGTTGTGCCTTGCTCTGACGCTTTCAACACTTCCTGACTGGACGCTCGTGGAACATTTTCCCCTGAGTTTTGTCTCCCAGGAGCACTTCGTGTCAGGTTGCCTGACTCAAGTGAACTTCCCCGGTCTGAAAGTCCAGCGGAAAAAAAGCAGTGCTCGAGACTTCACTGGTAACCCGGTAGGGCTTTCTGAAAAACTTAGGGAGGGACCGAGTGTCACTGAACGTCAAGTTACGTTCAAGGTCAGTGTGAAGTTTCGGAAAAAAATGTTATAAATGCAAATTAACTGATTATTATCACTTTTGTTATCTTATCTGCAAGCAAATTGTCTATGAATGTAATACTAATCATTAATTAAGGCGTTCTGTATTACTCTCAGGAAAAGTCTTTTAATTATGTGCCTGTAAAGTAACTTTAAATGCTGATATTCGTGAATCTTATAAATGAATCTTGAACTGTGTTTAAGATACTTGTTGTTAATTAAAAAGGTTTACAACCTTCCAACATTTACTTATGCTGCAATGCCACGACGCAAAATACGAATACTTTATGTAATACCACTTTGTACCACACGATGGTGCTGCAAGACAATAGTAGGACTGAGTCTACGATTGAGAGGAGTAAATATCGATGTAGGCAATTAAGATAAATAATTGAACTTCCGCTTGTCTTTCTACACAATGTGAGCGCTCAAAAGCTTTCTGCTACAAGTCTCATTCACACAGTCACACATGTATATATTTTATCTATATACCTAAGCACTTTTACCTGAGTGTGTCTGCACTTAGATATCGAAAAAAGCACTTGTATGAACGTGTGTGTGACTGGGTGACTGAGGCTTGTAGTAAAAAGCACTTTAAATGGTCAGCTAGAGTACAAAAGCTCCATAGAAGTCCATTTATCTAACATTCGCACACAAATGAAGCAAGGTTCAATATTTTACCCAGAATGCTTCAAGATCAGCTTTCAGACTGGTGGATGACACGCTCCACCACGTGAGCCGCCCTCCAACCTTACAGTACCTGGTTTCTGAGGTGGGGTCCCATTCAAGTACTAAACAGGCCTGATGCTGCCCAGCCCCTGAGATCAGATTGATGAGATCAGGTGTGCTCAGGTGTTATGGTTGTAAGCTGTAAATCTGTTAAAAGATTTGGGTAACTGGGCTTCCGTGTTCACTGGTGTACCTCATGGATTAGTCAACAGGAGGTTATAGGCCTACATTTATTTCAATTAAATCAATAGAATTAATTGTGCCAGTTTAAGCCATGAACAGGATACCTGAGCATGCACCGTTCAAAACAATCACTAAAGTCTTTTTCACACATAAACCTGAGAAACTGTCTGTAGAATCAGGACCATCCAAAGTGTCACTTTTACATGCACAGCAGGAAAAAAGTCTTATTCAGACTCATTCTCACTCTGGGAAATATTCCATTTGGTTTAGAGACACATGTTTAGACAGCGCCACTGTGGGTGGAGTGCAGACAACCAAGTGGAAAAATATGAAGTGAAACTAAGTTGAATAGAAGTCTTTTTTTTAGACATGAACTTTTTTAACTTGAGGGTAGGCATGTGAGAGCATCTCTGCTACTTTGCTTGCAGCTATTAGCTCAGTTGAAGAAAGTTGCTCAGTTTATGGGCTGAAAGATTTTGCTCTTTTCAACAAATCATTCACAAATAACACAACACCACCTCGTCAAGTTAATTGTATTGCTGTTTTGTTGTATGTTTACAATGGGTGAAATAAAAACGCTGTTTCTGTTTTGTTTTGTTTACTTTTTTTTTCAGATAAAAGTGCTTTATGATGCTTTTATACTGTAACTGTTCCGACTACCGTTTTCTCCCACGAGTGGCTGTGAATTTTAGCGTGACATCTTCTGTTTTATGGGACGTTTTAAAAAAAAAAAAAAAAGAGAAGAAGCCTTGATGTCAGTAGGACATGCCACTACAGCCAGCTTCATGTCTCCAGGCTGTCTCTCCCAGACTGTATAAAATTGCTAATTGAAGGATGTGTAAGCTGCCTGTTTTGCTGGAAAGAAGGGCCAGTGTGTATTTTTTTTATTCCACAAAAAATAAATTGATAACTGCAAATTAAATATCAAAAGAAATCAATACAATCTTGGCGTCATTCTTTATTTCAATCACAGATGATGTCACACATCAAAGACGAGCAAGTTTGCAAGACTTGACTTTTATTACAGTGCGATAAAAAATTAGCAGTTAAAAAAATTAGACTTGTCTTAAATACAAGTATTAAAGCTAATACATATTATGCAATAAGTTCAAATTATTATTCTCTTCATTCCCTAACAGCTGAAAAAGTCTGTTACAGTAACCTATACATAGTCTGTTTGAACTATAACTGGCAGCACTGACACACTGAAAATATTCTCAGTGAATTAAAGCTGACTATGGATTTGTATGACCACCAGGTAAGTTAGTAACAAAAAAGTTTGGAAATGTTTCATTTTATCGTATATATGTATAGAAAAAGTCTCACAATTTAAAATGTAAGACCTCAGTTAAGAGCTTTCTATTAAGCAGCAAAACCCCAGTTCCCAAAAAGATGGGACTCTATGTAAAAACCCATATTTAAATTACAATAAAATACAGAAAACATATCAAATGTTTAAAATGAGAAAATGTACGATTTTATGAATAAATCTTGGTTGATTATGAATATGACATCAGCAGCACGTCTCAAAACAGTGAGCAGAGGACAAGAAAAGGCTGGAAAGGTAAGTGGTACTAAAAAGAAACAGCATGGTTTCATAGTAGAAGAATCTGGGTGGTGGCCTGCCTGCAGTACAGGCATATTATGAAATGGAAAATACAGCAAAGAAGACCCAGGACTGTTGAGGAGCTACAATGCTCAGGCCAATATATGACAACAGTCTTCCTCAAGAAGTCCAGAAATCTGTCTCCTCACTTTCTAAACGTTTATGGATTGCTGCTAAAAGAAGAGGGGATGAGGATTTTTGGAATTGGGGTTGTATAATCATGTGCTATTTGGTATTTTATAATCAGAAGTCGAGTCAGTTCCAGTTTTTGGATCACAAAGGATGCTTTAGCTGCACAAGCATTAAAAATTGGAGCATCAACCACTGAAGATAATCGGGTCAGGCACTGCAGTGGCACACTGAGCATCTTTAAATCACAAGCACAAAACTTCGTGGACAATTGTGACACTGAAACATCAACCCGCAATAGAAAACTAGTATTTAAAACTTCTCCAGGATTTAAAAAAAATAAATAAATTTAAGGAAGAAGTTTAAATAATAAGCATGATGACTTTGTGAACAAATGGAAGATTTTAAAAAAGTGCTTTGTTAATCAGAGAGTGGTGGTGCATTAGTAGTAGGCAAAAATGACACACACCTGGCTCTCTTCTGGCAACAACCGTCTAAAAAAGTGCAAAGTTCAGTTATTAAATCCCTTATTCTCCTTTTTACAATGTAGCAGTTATGTTCAAAGACTCATGCAGCAGACTGTATTCCAGCTCAGGTTACCACTGGGCTTGTGTGAATTGAAATACAGTCTCTGTTTTATGCTCTGATTAATTCAATTTTGTCTCTTTTGCAGGCACAGGGTTGATTTCTGTCGTGTTGGATATCCTGGACCTGTATTTTAGGCTGTGAGACAGGTACAGTTGTATTTATTCTGTGATCGGCACCACCCTCCTGCCAGCTACAAACACCTCCACGATGTTACGATCATCACCTGACACAGAAAAAGAAAGGGAGATAAGCATAAAGCAAATGGCTCGTAACTAGGGATGGGTACCGGTATCCAGTGCCATCTGACATAAACGGTAGTAACCAGACCGAAAAGCAGCGAACATTTCGGTGCTTTTTTTCCTGAGCTGTGAAACACTTTAGATTCTAGCCAATCATTTTACGTTTCCGAGGATAGTAGGCGGGCCCAGGTGCGTACGTTCTTTTAGAGCAGAGCTACAGATTAAAAATGCCCAAGGCGAAGCGGTCAAAGTCTGTCTGTACTTCACAGCAAAATATGCAAACTCAGCAGCCTGCAACAAGTGCTTTAAGCTGATACTGTCAAAGGAGGTAACTCCTCAAATCCGATGAAACACCTGGCGACGCATAGCGTTTTTTTTTTAAAAGCCGAGAAATGCGCCGTATTTGATAGCTTGCTGCGAGACCTCACACCGTGCACATCTACTGCGGGTGTGGTGCCTGTTATCGGATTCGGAGTTTGCAACATCCCCAGAGAACCCGAAGAGTAGAGTCCTGGCCCCTAGCCCTGCCAGTGTAGCAGAAATGATGACGGATGATGATGCAGCAGCAGCCGTTCTTCTCTGCGTGAGTAGCTTAATGTTGTTTGTGTGTAATTTACGCTGAGTAGGCTAACCACGTTATTACATTAATGCACGTAAGGTGAACTAGCAAACACCATCATAGCTACATGCAGCTGTCTTCTTGTTTGATGGCAGATACTCCCTTCACCCTGGCCAAAAAGGCTAAAATGACCAAAGAAAAAGTGGAAAACAGTTAAACACGAGAAGTTTTTGGACAAAGTTTGTGTTTTTTCCATTGATTAAGCACTGCCTCCAGCCAAGAGTGACACCATATATGCCCCATAGCTGCAGAAAAGGCACACATTGTTATCTTTTTACAAAAAAACAAAAAAACAAAAAAACAAAAAAACAGCTGAACATGAGAGGTTTTTGGACCAATTTTGTGTTCTCCATTCTTTAAGCACCGGCACCGTTTCAAAAGTACCGGTTTGGCACCGGTATCAGATAAAACGTAAACGATACCCATCCCTACTCGTAACACATCAAAGTCACATTAAACTGAGATTTTCTGGAGCAAAAAGAAAGTGACACTCACCCAAATTCAAGAATTTTTCCAAAAGAATCTGAAATTCAAGATATTATAGATTATTGTGAGACTCCAATTAGAGTTTATTTAGTTAGTTTGTTTTGCTTTAATTCATTCATTTCAACCAATTTAGACCAACCTTTGGTTCCTCGTCCTGGATGAGATCGATAGGCCCACCCTCAGCAGCTACATTAATCCTCAGGGCATCAAAGTCTTTGCCAACTTCAAAGTTCCCTGTTTGGTCATCTAAGGACAAGGCTACAGAAAGACAGGCATAATAAATAAACAGTTTCTTAATGTGGGGACAGTTAGTTCATCAAAAAGATGAGATATATGACTACATAGCTACTGAGCACATGCCTATTACTATTTCTGTTATCATAATAGTGCTAATCATAATGTTTACTAAAGAACTTCTAGTTTTGAATGGCTTACCCTGACTGCCTCCCAGTGTGGCTATTCTGAACACCTCCTCAAAACTGAGTGTTTTGTATTTTGGGTCCTGGATGGTCAAGACTTTAGATGCATCCAGAGCTCTCCTCACAGCATCGAGCATAGAGGCGGAGTAGCCTCCAGCCACATCTGGTACAGCACCACAGACACAGACAGGACAGGGCAATGAAAAAATATGAAAAGCAGCCACTTGGTTTGTCAGGATTTCCAGGACGGCGTTGTCAGGTTTTCCCTATAATCGTAAAAACGTTTTGAACATTTGCTGTGGCGCCATTCTAGTGTTAGTGTGTGACATCACTGATTCCTGGATCTTTTCCTTATTATTCCCCACCACTTCGTGCTGCAGCAAAAGCATCTATTAAATCAAAAGTTTTATCAACTTTGAGCTTAACTTCACACCTTTAAGCTGACCTGGATTCTGAAGCTCCCAATTGTATAATAAAACTTTAAAGTGATTGTTGCTGAAGATTAGTTAATTAATAACAATGTGCACTAGTGTGGGCCAGAGTTTACAAAAGCTTAATCATCACACATCATTTTATGACTTCCTTATGGTGTGAATTGGTCTGCTTGCAAAATTAAAACTGTGTTCACACTTGCTCTGCTCTCCCACCTGTTCCCAGCCCCAACTTTACTTTGTGTTTCAGGACGTTGCGGACATTTAACACTCCACTGCACAACCTGGATAGATGGTGAGAGAGAGAGAGATGACAATCAAACTCATTCATTATGTAAAACTTCATAGACTTTATTTCATGGCTCTTGGTCAGATATGGTTCTAGAAACCATAAAGTACTTACGAAAAGTTGGAATTGGGACAGTGGGACAAAGAGGCTCCAGTCTCTCTGAACAGAGCCAACTCTTCATCACTGAGGTGGCACCCGTGGGCCATCACTGTCTGTGAATCACCCCATCATTAATAGTGTCAGTGGTTGTAGTATTTATATAATGTTTTGTGTAAAAATGTCTGATCGTGTGCAGGCAGGAGTGTACTAACCTTGTCAGTTAGCAGGTTGTGTTTGCGATAGACATCTGTGTAAGACTCTGATTCGGGAAACAGCTCCTTTACAAGCTTTACTTCCTCATGAGTTTCACTGATATGACTCTGACAATGAAGAAACACATCAGATATTCAAGTGATAGCTTAAGAAAACCTCTGACAAAAGCTCTAGCATTCAGATTGAGTGGCAGCACAGTTGCTGCATTACGCCAAACATGTATGTGTGCATTTTACCTCATCGTCCCAACATTACATTGTCTCTTTGGAATACAAGTCTCCTGCAGACATAGCCTAGTTTGACTCACCTGAATGTGCAGGTTGTTATTTTTAGCGATTTCTCCCAGCTGCTCGAGCAACGCTCCTGTGCAGGATGGAGCGAAACGGGGAGTCACCACAGGCTTCACTAAAGGGTACTGCCCTCAGAGGACGGAAGGAGAGACTATCAGAAAACGTATTTTTTCTAATATCTTTGAAAAGTCCTGTTTATTGTATTAAAGAATCTTACCTTTTTCTCCAGAAGCTCTTTAATGAACCTTCAGAGAGCAAATTAACAATGTAGTTTATTTATCTGTGGCAGATACATTTACTGATATCAAAAATTATCTATTTTTGCAACTGAAACTTGTGCTGAGAACAGATCTGCTGGTAATCATGTGTACTGAAGCACAACTGGCATATTTGTGTGATTTAATGTCATATATTTTGTTTTCATGTGTGATTCTGTTAAATTGGGACCTTAAAATTTTAATTCAGGGAAAGATCCTAAGTAGAATTAGATTCAAGGTTATGCCATAAGGGAGCATCCCTTACATTAAGGTTCTGGTTTTCTTAAAGCTCCGACCTCAACCCCATTGAGAATTTGTGGACTACGCTCAAAAGCAGAGTTTGTGCAGGAAACACAGGAACTCTACCAGTTGGTCAAATATTCAGCCAGAATCATGCCAGAAGACTATGGTTGAGGTGCAACTTGCTAAGTGTATTTATATATTTGAAACCGTATGTAATATTTTGACGCTGTGTTGATTACTGAAAATCCCATGTAAATCTAAACTTTTGGAACCTATTCTTGGCTTTTACACTCATCAAAGATGTGTGCTGTACAATCATTCCACCACAGAAAACAATCAGTTAAAAAAGACCATGGCAGCCAAGCCCATGAGTTTATGTTGACTTTTGACCACAATTACAACCAAACAGGTGATACCTTCACTGTTCTTTTCCACTACTGAAAAAGTATTTCTTTTTACCATATAGTGTTGACATGTCTGTCTATGATATCAGATTAACTCCCACAAAAAAAAAAAAAATTTGTAACACATTTGGCATCAATCTGGAAAAATCTGTATCAGGGTCTCTGACATAAAGGCTTAAAGCTTAACTGCCTCTTTTACGATCCAGACTAAATAATTACAAAGTAACCAAACCTGTTCTGTCATGGAATATCTTTACATTGAAAGAACATTGTAACACAACATCTGCTTTACGGTATTAAGCATCTAATACCTACCGACAGGTCTCGTCTTGAGAGTCCTGCAAGGTCTCTTTGTAATGTTTCACACAATCGTTCCTGTCCATGCACACCTTGCCAACCAAAGCACGCTGTCCAAAGTCATCTGCAAGAAAGGCATCAGTGAGTAAACAGGAACATAAGTAAACATTCATCCTTTCAAAGCTGTTACTGAGTATTTGATTTAATTAGATTTGAGGACAAAGCTCAGTCATTGTCAACTCATGTTAAATGAAGAGTATTTGTGCAGTTGCGATGCTCACATATAATAAACAGCCTCCGTAATGTCACCTGTGTGTCCTTGAAAGGCCCTACACATGTCAGAGTAAAATCTTGTTCTAACTCCTTATGCCAGTCATCTGATATAAATGCACGCAGAGCCATTTTCTAAATAAATATTGTGTAATGTGGAAGTTAGTGCATTTTAGTGCTAAACAGGTTCAGCAGCACCGCTTGCAATAATATGGCTTTTTGTTTTGATAGGACTAAAGATAGTTTAGGTCAGTCGTTCAGTTAGCACGACACCAGAGGCCTGATACGGAGGCAGCTAAGTGAAATAATTAGGAATACTCCTGCTACCAGGCTGAGTTTATCCCAGAGATGTACTGTTTGCAACCATTAAAAAATGCTTTGTTAAACAGATTATTGTGCTGTAAAATCCTCAGGTGATCAGGTTACAGAAGTTAGGATGTAAGACGGTTGAAAAACTGCACTTTCTTTTACATCCCATCGTTAGACAGCTGCATTCTTTTTCATCCATGGACATGCCCACACGTGATTTAAGCTTTCTAGGTGTGTCTCGTCTTTGCTTGTTTATTATCTGTGTATATAAGATGGAAAAATTTCTATTTCCCCCTGTAAAGTGAAGTGAATGACTTCTATGGGATGATGACGCTACTGCTCACTTGATATATGACCTCAGTAAACATTTGCCTAGTTTGTTTATGTTCTCGATCACAAGTTTCAAGCCCATACAACAGAACATGATGTTCTTTTAATAAATGGCCCTCTCAATTACGGAGAACAATATTACACATTGTGGCATGCTTTAGGGTGTAGCTTGATAGGCAAGTCACTACAAATCTCAGATCTACACCTCTGTTGTCAGGTGTGGTTTCATAACTCTAAAATTATGTGGTCCAGCTATGATAAAACATTTTGTGTCTGATCTGTCGGAAAAACTATATCGCTGTATCCGAGCTTGAACCTGGACTGAACAAACTGGTTTGTTGCAAGTATATTCTTAAGCTTTTCTCATGTTAAATGTACGGTTTGGAAATACTCCAACTTGCCTATACACAAGCACATGCCTCTGTTCAACAGTTCAGAGTTCAAAGTTAAGAGTTCAATGCCCCTGATTGCACAAAATGACTCTGTAAAGTTGCCAATAACAGGGTTTGATGCGTTGGGGTTACATCATTACAAATTCATGTGCGTGTGTGTTCAGTGTTATATAATATGACAGGAACAAGATAAAGCTAGGGTATAAAGGTGAAGGACCATTTCTCTGCAGTGTTTATGAAACATATCGTTAGAGTGAAGAAAGGCAAGAAAAAAATTAAATAACTGAGTCTGAGTCAAAGCATCATAACATACTGCACATGATGATGATTGTAAAGAAGTGAGACAAACTAGTATTCTGATGATTTTTAGGCACTTTTATATTATTAGCACAGCCTTCAGTAAAGTCCGCTTCCTTATCTTGTCATCTTAAATTATGGAAAATTTAAAAATATCATCGTAGCTTATTACACATAAAAAACAAATGTGATATACATTTAAAGAATTAAGAGGCCTACTGTAATGCTTCAAAATAAACATTCAGCTCAAAGTGTGTGTTTGTGCATGTGTTTTAGTATAAGACATCTTACTTGCAATCTGGCCCAGCAAAAGAGAAGCTTCAGTGTGAATCGTAGCAAAGTAGCATGCAGTCGTTGTTCCATTTCTCAGAGTTCTTCTCTGTAAAGCACAGGGATCATATCACAGGATTAAGACCAAATCAACACTTCTGAGACCCTTAACTCACAGGCTGAGTCACAATCCGATTTCTTTTTTGGCTTGTTGAATGTCTTTAATCAACAACTTTGAACTGATGCAAATGTTCAAAGTTTCACATCAAGAAATAAGTGTCCAAAGTCACTTGTCTCTTGATGTTGGCAAACTCACCACTATTTGAGTGTAGACCTTGCGGGCGAACTCCAAGTCCTTGAAGCATGACTCCACAGGAAAGGTGTAAGCATTAAGCCACTGCAGTAACGGCATGTCCAATGCGGTGCCAGCGTAGCTGTACTGTGATGCATGGATGTGGGTATCTACAAGTCCTGGCATGAAGAACTCACTAGAATGAAGCAAGCCAAAAAAAACTGCTTTATGACATATGAAAGAAATCACTTTCTTCCAATACAAGATGAGCATCCATCTATCCATCCATTTTCTTTATATCTATATGTGTGACAATATAATGCAAACAAGCTCTGATTTACTATAATGACATCAAGATTATATAATAAACTTACTGTTGTGCCAGCTGAGTGATGTCAGATGTTTTGAATCCAAAGGTCTGGGACAGTTTTTCTAACTCCTTGCCTTCCCTAATAAAAGCAATCTGACCGCAGAATGTAAATTAGACCGGGGTTAAAAGCATACATGCAGAAAGGTGTTTGTAATTAAGCAAGCTGAGAGAACTGAGAGCTTAGGGGGAGGCTTTGGAAGAAAATAGACAGCTGTATATTTTTAATACGTTTGCTTAAAATGTATTTTCATCAACAGTTTACAAACATATTCCTTTGTCCACAACAACCGAGACCAGAATCTATTATGGATTTAAAAAAATTCATATTAAAAGTTATATATCTTTTTTTTTTTTATTAGACACGTTGTAATCAGGCAGGTGCACTGTAGGCGTCTATTTATAATATAAAGTGTTCTGTACCAGGGGGTTTACTGTTGGCCATACTGCCAAAGTTGCTCAGCAACAGCTAATTATATGAGAAAATTAAAATAGCCTAGCCTGTTATACCAGATTTACGCCCTAAAGCCTGATTTACCCCTTTGTCAGTTAAAAAATAGTCATCAAGATATTTATCAAATGTAAAACGCAAACAATGTATTCTGGAATTCCACAAACCTTTCCCTGTGCATCCACTCCCAGGAGCGCATCTTTCAGGATCTGTAGCGCCGTTTGCTGAGTCGAGTGGACAAACGTGCCCCTGTAGACGAAGGCTATTGCAGTGTCGGCTCGGTCGGAGTTCGCCATTTCTTCTCCATGTAAGTCGCGGTGCAGCAGTGAGATACAGCGGGATCGAGTCGGGTATTTGTCCTCTGCCAGTGCCAAAAACCACCTGACGGCAGAGGTCTTGAGCAGCCAATGAGAGGACAGGGTGTGCATGTCGGGATCGTCCCGTCTATATGTTATAACACTTGTAACGTGTGATCTGATAAGCTTAAGGATGAATTTCATGTTTTGCCTTTGTTATCCTGGCTTAGTATGAGGTGCGTAATGCAAAGTATCAAAGTTATCCACGAGTCAATGCTTTCTGCTGAATAGTAAACTTTGTAGTGGTCAAGGTTTCTAAAAAGAAACATGACCACTCAGAAATCAGCGCAAAAGACAGAAAAAGCTCGCACTTTCCGTCGTTTCTTTTGCGCAAATTTAGACGTAAGCATATATACAGGGAGTGCAGAATTATTAGGCAAATGAGTATTTTGTCCACATCATCCTCTTCATGCATGTTGTCTTACTCCAAGCTGTATAGGCTCAAAAGCCTACTACCAATTAAGCATATTAGGTGATGTGCATCTCTGTAATGAGAAGGGGTGTGGTCTAATGACATCAACACCCTATATCAGGTGTGCATAATTATTAGGCAACGTCCTTTCCTTTGGCAAAATGGGTCAAAAGAAGGACTTGACGGGCTCAGAAAAGTCAAAAATAGTGAGATATCTTGCAGAGGGATGCAGCAGTCTCAAAATTGCAAAGCTTCTGAAGCGTGATCATCGAACAATCAAGCGTTTCATTCAAAATAGTCAACAGGGTCGCAAGAAGCGTGTGGAAAAACCAAGGCGCAAAATAACTGCCCATGAACTGAGAAAAGTCAAGCGTGCAGCTGCCAAGATGCCACTTGCCACCAGTTTGGCCATATTTCAGAGCTGCAACATCACTGGAGTGCCCAAAAGCACAAGGTGTGCAATACTCAGAGACATGGCCAAGGTAAGAAAGGCTGAAAGACAACCACCACTGAACAAGACACACAAGCTGAAACGTCAAGACTGGGCCAAGAAATATCTCAAGACTGATTTTTCTAAGGTTTTATGGACTGATGAAATGAGAGTGAGTCTTGATGGGCCAGATGGATGGGCCCGTGGCTGGATTGGTAAAGGCCAGAGAGCTCCAGTCCGACTCAGACGCCAGCAAGTGGAGTACTGGTTTGGGCTGGTATCATCAAAGATGAGCTTGTGGGGCCTTTTCGGGTTGAGGATGGAGTCAAGCTCAACTCCCAGTCCTACTGCCAGTTTCTGGAAGACACCTTCTTCAAGCAGTGGTACAGGAAGAAGTCTGCATCCTTCAAGAAAAACATGATTTTCATGCAGGACAATGCTCCATCACACGCGTCCAAGTACTCCACAGCGTGGCTGGCAAGAAAGGGTATAAAAGAAGAAAAACTAATGACATGGCCACCTTGTTCACCTGATCTGAACCCCATTGAGAACCTGTGGTCCATCATCAAATGTCAGATTTACAAGGAGGGAAAACAGTACACCTCTCTGAACAGTGTCTGGGAGGCTGTGGTTGCTGCTGCACGCAATGTTGATGGTGAACAGATCAAAACACTGACAGAATCCATGGATGGCAGGCTTTTGAGTGTCCTTGCAAAGAAAGGTGGCTATATTGGTCGCTGATTTGTTTTTGTTTTGTTTTTGAATGTCAGAAATGTATATTTGTGAATGTGGAGATGTTATATTGGTTTCACTGGTAAAAATAAATAATTGAAATGGGTATATATTTGTTTTTTGCTAAGTTGCCTAATAATTATGCACAGTAATAGTCACCTGCACACACAGATATCCCCCTAAAATAGCTAAAACTAAAAACAAACTAAAAACTACTTCCAAAAACATTCAGCTTTGATATTAATTAGTTTTTTGGGTTCACTGAGAACATGGTTGTTGTTCAATAATAAAATTATTCCTCAAAAATACAACTTGATTAAATAATTCTGCACTCCCTGTATAAGCAATCAGAGGTGAAACAGTCTTTAAAATTAGTCTTTCATTTGAAAAAATACAGACTATAATTTCCGACAAATACAAAAGTTGTATTAATTAGATACATTTGATGACCCCAGAAACAGAACTATCAATGGTAAATGGATTGATTCTTATATAGCGCTTTTCTACTCTCCTGGAGTACTCAAAGCGCTCTATACTGTACAACATGTCGCATTCACCCAATCACTTTCTTCTAAGCTTTTAGTGCTTCCCAACAATCAGCAACTTGGAGTTAGTATCTTGCCCAAGGATACTTGGCATGGAGACAGGAGGAGCCAAGGATCGAACCACTAACCTTCATCAGTAGAATGACCTGGTCTACCTGAGCTGCAGCCACCCCAATCAACCCACAGCTCTGGTCAGATGTTTACAGGCATTCATCATTACTGTTCCCTTTCCAGGGTGGAATGATCTACAACATACTTTTTTTTTCTTTTCTTTTTTTTTTACCAAGAACTCCTGGCACAAACTTGAATTTATTATAGATTTTCAAAAGTACACATACAGGCTCAATTATACATACATCCCCACAAATATTTGGTCAAACGTCATTTAGTAAGTTGCATCTCACCTAGATGCTTTTTGGTAGCCATCAATAAATATCTGGCATAATTCTGGTTGAAGACTTGATCACTCCTCTTGACAGAGTACATTTAAATTGGTTGGTTTCCTGGCACAGACTCAGCTTTTAGGCATAGTCCATACTTTTTCAATAGAGTTGAGTTCGAGACTTTGGGAAGGCCATTCCAGAAGTTTAATGTTAGCCTGCTTTATCCATTTTCAAAACCAAGCTTGACGTGTGCTTGGGGTCACTGTCCTCCTTCTTCATTATTCAATTCACTTTGTGCAACATACGGTACAGCCGATACCAAAACGGCCCAGGAGCATGACACTACTACCACCATGCTTGACAGCTGGTACAGTATTTTTACGTTTGAAAGCCTCACCTTTACGGCTCCAAACATTTCTTTTGTCATTGTGGCCAGACAGTTAAATCTTTGTCTCATCTGGACAACATACCATGACTTTCATGCCTATGATGGGTGGATGCAAGCTTCTGACCACATCCGTAACGCAGAGGATTAAAAAGTGGATCTATGTGTTCTTTATTATGCACGAAAGTATCTGAACTATCCCTTCTTTTATATATAAACATACAAAAAATGTGGTTTAAATAATATAGGATATGACCCGTTACTCTTTTCCACTGTAGTTTGCCCATGTTTGACAAAGGCTGTAGAGGCTTTGCTCCCATTAAACATTTACTACTGTTTTCTCAATACCAAGGTAATAAGCAACTGGTCATTGAAAATTATAAAGCATTAATAAGGTAAATAAAAAGTAAAAGTAGGTAATATATTAGTAATAATATCAAAAATATTTTGCTAAACTATAGATTTCTATTTATAATTTGCAAGACAATTATAATAACATGTGTCAGGGTCCTGGGTCTGAGCGACCCAGGATCCCTGAACAGTTATGAATTATATTATTATTATTGTATGTATATTTGGTGTTGCTGTCCTTCTCCCTGTTTGCGTGTGTGTGTGTATATGTATATGTGTTTCGGCGGGCGCCTTCTGGCCTGGTGGGTGTGGCCCTGCTGACGGTCTGGCCACACCCGAAGCCACACACCTGCTGCTGATCAGGCCTTGTCGGGGGAGCTACTTAGGAGAGTCTTGGAGCTCCCAACAACGCGGGATCATTCCATTAGACTCCACGAGAGGTGTGGAGTGCCAGACAGCAGCCAGCATGGGGAGTGCTGAGACAGGGGAGCGGAGAGCACAAACACTGGGAGAAGACACGACACGGGAGTCTGGGGAAAGCACGGGGATTTATTGTTGTTTAGTTTCATACACTGTAAATAAACGCACTGTTTACACACAGAGCACCGCGCCTGGGTCCTCCTTCCCTACACCCCCACGGTCTGCTAGCCAGACGGTGACAACATGACATGTGAGGCAACAACAGATCGGTTAACAGTATAAAAATATTAGATGTTACACCTTCAAAAACACATATTCAATTTCTCTTCCTTTATTAATACAACCACTTCTTTGTGGAGTTTATGTGTGGCAACCTTGAACTGGCATTGTTGGTTTGCACTGCATTAAACTTAAATGAAAATCAGCGGGTCTCATGATGATGCTGTTACCTCATCCAGTTATTAATGTATTTCTGGAAGCTCTTTAGTTGGAAAAAATTATGTGTCAGCATCAAATTAGGCTTTTTTTTTTTTTTAAATTCTCAGTCATGAGTATATAAGCAGAACAAAGGCATGTGACACAAATTTTCAAGGGAACCCTTGGAGCCCAGTGATGTGGTCACCCACTCTTCTCCTTTATTACAATGACTCATTTTTTAATGAGGAATTAGTATTTGAAACATCACCACGTGCTTTTAAATGTATGAAGCCCACATGATAAATTACAACACATGTTAATTTTAGATGATGCCAGCACGCACAAAAAGACCTGCTTTCAAGTAACTCCAGGTTATTCAGTAACGGAAAGTCGGCTTAAAGATTTCACACTACAGAAACAAAATGAGTGTATGTGTAACAGTTCTCATCAAACAAACTTACGAGCCTTTTTGTTAATGCAACCACTCGTTAAGACAAATATCTACCCAGCCAATCACATTACACCAACTCAGTTAGGCATGTAGACGTGGTCAAGACAACTTGCTGACGTTCAAACCGAGCATTAGAAACGGAAAGAACGTCGATTTAAGCGACTCTGAACATGGCATGGTTGTTGGTCCCAGATAGGCTGGTCTGAGTGTTCCAGAAACTACTGATCTGCTGGGATTTTCCTGCAAAACCAATCAGATAGGAAGGCAACAAATAACAATTTATTACAACCTGAGGTATGCAGAAGGACATCTCTGAACGCATAACATGTTCAACCTTGAAACAGATGGTCTACAGCAATAGAAGTCCACACCCAGTGCCTGTAAAAACAGGACACTGAGGATATAAATTGCTTAGAGCCGCCAAAATTGAACAATAGAAGATTGGAAAAATGTTCCCTTGTTTGATGATTCATTTCTTCTGCAACATTCAGACAGTAGGGTGATACTTGGCACAGACAATATGAAAGCATGCAACCATTCTGCCTTAGATCAACATTTCTGGTCGTTGTTGGTGTAACAGAGGTATCTTTTTGGCATACTATGTTTTGGCAAATGACGAGTTCACTGCACTCAAATTGGCTTAACTTATCAGCAGATTTCAATCCCGTAGAGCAGCTCTGGGATGTGGTGAAACGGGAGATTCATCACATAGATTTGTAGCTGAAAAATCTGCAGCCATCAGGCCAGTATGGACCAAAATCTTTGGGGAATGTTTCCAGCGTAAGGGGTCCAACTCAGTGCTGACGAGATATACGTAATAAAGTGTCTCATGAGTGTATGTACAAAAAGCAGATGACACTGGTGAATGTTTGTATAGAATATGATAAATGTTTAAATGTGTAGTAGAGGTTCTAGCTTTCCTCACACCAAGAGCCTTTCATAATTTGTGAGTTTACTAATGTGAGTTGTAATCAAAATGTTCAAGATATCCTCCTTTCAAATTCAGCAACATCAAGATTTTCAGTGTTTCTAAAGTTAGTCTGAGGAAAAACTGCTGTATTACATTTATGTGATTGTACATTTTAGAAGAATCAGTGATATTCTGAAGATTTTAATATTTAAACACAAATAAAACAAAAGAAAATCAAATAAAAAACGGCAATAATTGGTGCTACTTAACTAAAAACATATACAGTGCGTCTTGGATACATTTCAGTTTATGATAGCCAAACCTATAAACATCAACAGCCAAAATATTAGGAACATCTCTCGGTGTACTAACTGCTCAGCAGCGGCATAAAGCTGAACACTGCAAACACATTACTAACCAGTGTGATTTATTGCAAAATGTTTGCAAAATGCATGAAAGGCTATAAAACATTATTTATGGCAGTTTAAACAATTTACAGAACTAAAGATTCTTTAGAAAGTACACCGACTCAGTTAAAAAGAAAAATTACGTTGCTCCCTCTGATGTCATCTGGCAGTTTTTGTGCATTTCACCACCTGACTTCCTTTTTCATGCTCTGCATTCAAGCAGGCAGCATCGGCTTATTGCCATATATTAATCTAAGAGAGCTTCTGCAACAAACCCGATACTGTATTTTGCCCCAAAAAATCCCATTTGTTACACAGGTTTGAAAAGAACTCTTATTGTGTTTAATCTTCAATATTGATTGGCGACAGGTCCGGCAGCACAGCAGATTTTCTCTGTGGCTTTTTTGCTGCAGAGTCCTCGTCTAAATCTTTATCTTCCTCCTCTTCACAGTCATCAAAGTCATCTTCATCATCATCATAATCATCATCACTGTCCAAACCATCCATGTCTGTCTTCCTTCGTCGACATCCCTTCTTTCTCTGTTCATCAACTTCTTGCTCGTTTTGCTCCAGATGTGAGTTCACCCTACACGGTGAAGAAAAAAGATATAAGAACTGTTGTTTAACTTTGCACCAACAATCCAAATCTTCCAGTATTGCGTTGTCACAAAGTCAGTAACTCAACAAGCTACAGGAAATTACCTTTCCTTAATTAACACTTAGTGGAAGCATTTAGATGCCAAAAGCAATGCTTAAAAATATGAGAAGCCCATGAAATGATGTTCAGGGTCAAGTATTGGCTACAATGTATCTTATTCTCCACAAGGTGGCAGACTTACAGTAGTTACAGTATTATGTGTATGTGCTTGTCAGTGATAAAAGATGAAAATACATTTGCTTAAATCACTTCGGTGTTATCCCGTCTCTTTAGGAATCTAACACATGTAGAAACTCCTGTAATTCATGTTCGTTTTAAAAACTTGTTGCCAGTGTGAAAGGAAAAAAAATAAACTGGTGTCATCAAATTTGATTTTCTCAGAACATTGAAAATTGAAAGCTCTTCTTTGGATGTCAGCTGCCTTTTCTCTGACAAGATGATCCCACACAGCTTGATTGATGATTTGAACCAAAAACTTTGGTTTCATCACTCCATCAGACCCGTTGCCACTGATTTTCAGTCCAGTTTTTGTGTAATGCGGCATACCTCAGCCTTTCCTTATTCCTTAAGAATGGCTTTTTGACAACCACCCTTCCACTGAGAGCATTTGTAATGACGCCTCAGTGAACACAACAGATGCATCTCACAGGTCCTGTGTCAGATCTTTGCTGAATTTTTTTCCCCATTTCTTAAGAACATCATTTTTAGATACTGTTCATCTGCTGTAGATATTTTTTTGTTTTTAGGCCTGGCACTTCTTCTTTTGTTTAATTTCGTCAAATTTCTTTGCAGACATACTGCACACCATATGCAAGATTTTTTGGGTTTTTTTCTTTTGGCTGTCAGTTTTCTCTTTGGCACTTTCAAAGCTTCAGCTAAGGAAATGGGAACAAAACGCCTAAACATACAATTTGTTGCTTGTTGAATATCTGTTAAATGGAGATGTGACACTGGTTTATTCCTTTGAGTTAGCAGTGTTTTTTTTTTTTTTTGGGGGGGGGGTTTAAGCTTGAATGATTCATAGGTCAGTATTAAGTGGCTTAACAAAGAAAAAATCCTAAAAAAAAAATGCTCAGGTACAAGGACTGAACTGGAAATGAGTGGACAAAGCAGCCAATGTTCAAAGAAAAACTATGAAAGACTTTCTGAAAGCCTGAGGAACTATTGCTCAAGACCTTTTTTAAACAGGTTTTGAGCGGAGGACAAAGCTCTGGCACCTTGGAAGCAAAATATGAAGAAATGATGGGTGAGTTCGTACTTTGTACATTAATGTATATAAGGACAAAACACACGCAAACTTATCCTCTTACGGAATAACAATCTCCTCCTTCTTCCCACACTTGCAGCAGATCTCTTGCTGAAGAGAGCAGGGCTTACAAATGATGTGATACGCATCTTTTATTGTCTTTTGGGAGCACTTGACACTGCAAAAAAAACAATCAGTTATTAAGACCAATGTATTTAACTTGCCACTTAAAACAATATATCCATGTGTTGGGAAAATTCTTCTAAGCAGTGGAGATAAAATATTTAGTGGCTAATTTTCAAAGTCTGCCACTATGAAAAAATGAGATGGCTAAAATCATGCACGATATGAAATAAGCAAAGAATGTTTGTGGTGTAGTTTCATTTTTTGCACAGGTAAAAAAAAAGAAGCTGATAAAATAAACTCTTCAATTCACCGACTGCTTTGTTGTTACTTGATGTGCATTTTCATGAGCAGCTGTAAGAATTTGCCCCTAGCCCTGCGTACTGAAATCAAAGTCTGCAATACTTATGTATACTTACCATTTTCTAGGCTGTGTTAGTGGCTTGTATTTGTTGTACTTAACTTTCCACTCAAGAACACCTTTACAGCGTTGACAAAGCCCATCATGGATCTTTGAATTTGCCTTCTACAATTGAGATTAGAGAAGCAAAGACAATAGAGATGTTCAAATATTATGTGTGTTTAACAAAGCAAGAGCTATAAACAAGTTTTCACAGGAAATGATTTATCACTGGCAGAAATGACAGGAAGAAAAAAGTACAAACTCCCTACAGTCTCAGCCTTTCTCAAATAAATGAATATTGTGAATAAGTTTAACTTTCCTTAATTAACACTTATTGGAAGCATTAATTAAGCAATAAGACCACTCTGTCTCAAATCACCATTCTGTTTGAAGATTTACCTACAAATTTTGTTGTGCATAGTTAGCTTATATAATCGTTTCTGTACAAGTATAGCTACACACACACAACTTTATTATTATTTTTTTGCACTATGGTAAAATGACGTGACACACGAGTATCTCAAAAACTATTAAAGATAAAAGTCAGAAACTTTCACTAGCCTTTCTTACTTTCTTACCATGTATCAGAATGTATTGACTAGTTATAACATAGAAAAACTAAGAATAATAAAATAAAATAATAAATTCAAGACTCATTCAAGAACGCTAATAAAAACTTCACATTGAAGTCTTCAGACTATTCAGGTAATTTCTGAACATTTATTAGATATAATTGTGTTTCACAATAATGCAAAATTAAACACACAGAATACTTTTCGAAATTAAATTCATGGTAGGACACCTCAAGTTTTCAAATATCTTGAAAAGTATTTGATACACGAAGAAAAAAAATTCACAGCACACACACGTCCAAACTTTGGACCATAAAACCTTTAGAAAAATCTGAAATGGGCTAGCCGAAAATATTCTGAAGATTGATAAAATGGCCCAAATGCAAAATGCAATACAAGGCTAAATAACTTAGCTCAGCAAAGCTGACACACCTTCACTTGTGTAGTCGCTCCGTACTTGTCGTTTTTAAACGCAGTTGTGTTTTGATGCTTCTGGCCCCGCGATCGAGATGTATTACCTCTCTGAGAACTCATGTTATTAAACCTTTTTAGCCACACACGTTACACAGATACACAAACTAAGCACCATGCCGCCGAGCAAGAGCACTAACCCGGAAGAAGTAAGAACGCGTCATGAAACGTCATTGAGAACTACGTAAAAAAAGGAAAGAAAAATGTGTTATTTTAATAAACAGTATATTTCATGTATGTATTTATTTTTTTAAAGTCAGAATTTCTTTTTACATTTACAAACACACTTAATAAATTATAGCTTGTCAATGACATCACCGACTAGAACTAGAAACACCTTTGTGGACGCTGATTGGACGATGCCTTCCAATAGTAATTTCTGATTGGTTGTCAATCCTAAAAAACTTAAATCCTCAGACTGCGGCGTCTAGAAGGACCGCCCATAAACATCAAAGTCATTGGGGGAGTCGTTTTGTCGACCTCTTTTCCCATTGGTCCACAGAGCTGTCAATGAACGCCTCTTTTTCCTCAAGCCAAGATAACAAGCAGGGCTGGGCGATATTCACAACGAAAGCAGTGATGTTTCGGTGGCAGGTGATACTGCTGTGAATTGTTTGGTAAGCTGCACGGACACGTCTGCTAGATTTGAGTGAATTTTAAACTGTTATCTTTCCTATCAGCTTCACTGCTGTGCTTTAGAAACTTGAACGTTTCGAATGAGTCGATGTCGTTATCGTCCAGGACCGTATGTTGAGAAAACCGAAAGGAGGGAAAATAAAGGAAACGACAGTTCAGAAGACTGTGTGGTCCGGAGAACGAAGCTGCCAGCTAATACTAATTAAAGAAGGATAATACACACTCAAACTGACATCGCTAACCGAGGATAATCTGGCCAAGGATAACCTCGACAAGCTCTAGGTGTCGAGAAGATAAGTTAGTTGGCTTGGTGCGAAGATATCTCAAGACTGCGGTGACGTCTACCTAGTACTATCACCTTTAAACACAGAAAGAAAACCAAAACAAACCCCCAGCCGCCGTCCAGGTAAGCTTTCTTTGGAATATATGTACACTTGGTACACCATACTTTGCAGCTAATTGTAGCTGCTAGAAACGAAACCCTCACAAATAGCCTGGTGTAACTGTAATCTCTGTGAACACATTGCTACATCCACCACCATTTTACAGTAAATCGCCGCGGGGCTCCGTTTAGCCTCTGCTTGGAATGGACTTTGTGGTAAGAATGTAGGAAGCAAATAGGCTCCATTGTCGTCCCCATCCTCAGTCATCCCTGACACAGCCGTTTATTTACCCACGTATCATACAGACAGTTCAGCTGAGTTAAAAATCAGCAGCGTGTGAGTAAGATTAATCAAGTAATTTCCAGCAGCTGTTTAGCGTCGTTTCTTTAGACTGATCTAAGCAAATCAGTTGCAAGATTTATGAATATATCAGACAGAAATGTCCATCTATGAAGCTGCTAAGTGCTGTGGCTGGTCAGAGGAGCTATCGCCAAAGGAAAGAGGAAAGGTAATCCATATAACACATTGTCATAATCTGATATTAGTGAGCATTTTTTTCCCCCTGCTTGGTTAAAGAGTCACATTACAAAGCAGCATGACTGGCTAAGATAACTTGGAGATTTGCCTCCAGCTGCCATATGTTTTACCAAAAAGGAGCTGTGCTGACATCACTGCTGCAGTTTCATAGTAGCTAGAATATCTTAAGAGGTAACCTAAGGTAGGGGTCCAGGTGCAGGGAGAGACAAAAAAGCCTTTCAAGTTAATTCTCTGAGTGACTGTGAAGCCTCAGGGTAGACATGGAGAGAAAAATCACTCGGCTAGGGTCATCTCCCTTTAAAATCCTGTCTCGAGAGAGCTCTGCATTTTAGAGAGAGAGGGAGATTGTTTAGTGTAATAATAAAAAATAAAATTTTAAAAATGACAGCAGCCTGGCTCAAGCCCCTCGTCCAAGAAATCCCCTGCTTTGCTTAACAGATATAGTTGTATATGTAGAAAAACCTAATTTCGAAACTCTGGCAGAGATTTGCTTTTGTAGCATCTTTCTTGTGGGATGCATTGGCATATCGGTGTGTTTTCTTCCTCACTATGGGATATTTCTATTTTAATCCTTTTGGTTCTCTCTGTTGCAGCACTTTGAGGATGAACCACTTATCGCTCAGTGAGCTATGTTGCCTGTTCTGCTGTCCACCGTGCCCCAGCAAGATCGCCTCAAAGCTGGCCTTTCTACCCCCTGAGCCGACCTACAGCCTCATGTGTGATGACAGTGGCAGCCGATGGACGCTGCACCTCTCCGAGCGTGCTGACTGGCAGTACTCGGCCCGTGAGAAGGAGGCCATCGAGTGTTTCATGACACGCACCTCAAGAGGGAGCCGCATTGCCTGCATGTTTGTCCGCTGCTCACCCAGCGCCCGGTATACTCTGTTGTTCTCCCACGGTAATGCAGTGGACTTGGGCCAGATGAGCAGCTTCTACATTGGCCTCGGTTCACGGATCAACTGCAACGTTTTTTCCTACGACTACTCTGGTTATGGGGCCAGCTCTGGGAAGCCTTCGGAGAAGAACCTGTACGCTGATGTAGATGCTGCCTGGCAGGCGCTCCGATCACGGTAATGAAGCGTTATAATGGATGGATAAGTAATATAAAATGACGTGATATTAAAACAACTGAGCAGTATGCAGAATCCTGTAAGAGACTTATTTGTGAATGCACAAGACTCCTGCAGTCACTCAAAACCTGTTTATTAGGATGTGATAGGATGTGATAGCATGGAGAAATGAACCTAAATGGCCGTTTAGATGACTCATGACAAACAAGGAGTTAAACCCGATGAACTTTAGGGAAAAGTAAAGTTCCCACAGTACTTGAAATGATTGGATTTTTTTTTTTTTTTTTTTAAATTAGAGTATCTGAAGGGGAAAGTGAAGTGACATAACACAAAAAACTGTAAGGAATATGGTTATAAAAATAAAAAAAAAATCCCCTACAGTGTGTGTGGTGGTAATATTTAAAGCCTTATTAGTCATATTAATAGCAGGTCCCTGTTTTATGTCTTGGTTGGCAGCTTTGTATTGCTAACAGGAATATTATGAATAACAACAGTGTCAACCTGTGTTTCTGGCATGCTGTAGAAATATGGGGGCATTTTAGAAAGTGTTAAATGAGGATTAGTGAAGGAAATGATGATTTAGATGGAAAAGGGCAAAAATGAGAAGATGTGAACTTCTGAAGGTGCTGGGGGCGGAGGGATGACTACTTAACAGAACTTCACAAAATCATGAGGGAAGATGATGAGGAATGGCTTAGTGGGGATGACATGATGTTCTTGTAGGCGAAGAAACGTGGGTTCTGTGATTACGCTGCGCCCCCTCCTCCAATAATATGTAGGTGTGAGCGGTTGCTCTGCTACATGTTTGTACAGGTGACTAATTATTGGCTGATTGGAAACTGGTATTTATGTTTTCCCAGTTGATGATAACCTACTTGTTCAGGACTTTCTGTTATCTTATTGTGGTTTCAAAGTGCACACGACCCAGCAGGAATTCAGTTTGCAGTTGAAGTCTTGTTCTATTACACTTCGATAGTTATTTTTAAAGAATCAAACTTCTTAGTAATTGGTTTATGAAAGACTCTGTATAAAGAACTCGTTCTCTGCATCACTTGTATCTGGTCCTCATGCTCATGAATAGTTTGTTACTGCAGGTGTGAACTGTTGTTCAGCTTCAGTTCCTTCCCCCAGATAAGGTCGTCTTACATGTAAGCAGTGCTTATCAGTTTGTCTAACGCTGTGGCCTTCACTTCCTTCCATTTGTGTTTAAGGACGTCTGCTTATTGTCTCCAACCATCTCGTCATCTCCTTCTTTTGTCCTTTGTGTCACCACATTGTGCTTAAAGTCTGTAGGTTTGCCAGTAGAGTGCCTGTACTGAAAACCCACAAACAAAACATAAGTAGAACTGAAACGTAAACAGAATTCATCAGTCGCTTTTCAGATTATTGAATCAAAGCCCAAAATACTTGTTAGTTCCCGCTCCTAAGATATTTTGGGGGAAGTGGATGAAGGTAGATCTTTGATCTGGGGAATCTGTGGTAGACCTATTTCACTGTGTTCCTGATATTTTACACAACAGCTAGCTGGAACGTATTTAGGGGGGGGTGAATTAAAAATGAAAATAATTTTTAGTTGAAGCTCTACCTATACATGCAGGGTAGAAGCAAGAAAGCAAACATCAACCTGCTGCGATGAAACAGGATGTGGAGGGTGTGTGTGTGTGTGTGAGTACTATGTCCATTATATCTGTGAGTTCTTGTTTTGGGAGAAGGGAAAGATAAAATTTCATCCAGTAAGACTGCTTGTCTGTATGTTTCCTGCTGGAAGACAAATTACTAAGAGAGCAGATGGGGAGACTTCAGAAGTGTTAAAAATGCTGGAAGAGAGGAGACAAAATGATCGAGATCAGCCTTTGGGGGGGGAAAAAAAAAAAGCTGTTCTTTAAGTGTGGAGTGTTCCTCCTGTGTTATTGCTAGTGTGGGAGTATGTTCTTTCTGTACTAAATGAAGGTTTTGGCACTGCAGAGCTTTAAAGTGCTGATAACACTGCTAAGAGCCACTGACAACAAATCTTACAGTTTATTAGCTGCTGACTTTTGATGTGAACCTCCCCAAGCACTTTCACAGAATCTAATGAATGGGCTTCTGTAAATAAGGACCTCTTATATAAGGAAGCTACAGAGTTTAACTAGAAAATTGACGGTAAGGCTTTTGCATTTAAGAAGCAAGCCACTGCTGTAAAGATGAAAAAGAACCTGCTTTTCTGGTGGTTAAAAGTCACATGTCTGTAGGTATAGGCTTGATTGTTTTCTTTTCTCATCACCCGTTCGAAACCACACTCCTGGAATGACCTGATTGCTTGTCCCCGCTTTTTTTTTTTTTTTTTTTTTTTTTTTTTTTTTTTTTTCCTTTTCTTCTTTTAAACATCACTAACGACTTCTCCAAGTCAAAATAACAATCTAGTTTACACTGGTAAAACTGCTTGGACTGTAGCTATAATATGCAAAGGCAACATGTTGTCATTAGCTGATTGACTTAAAAGCTAACACTACTCACTCGGCTC